CCTCCTCCTCCTCCTCTTCCTCCTCCTCCTCCTCCTCCTCCTCCTCCTCCTCCTCCTCTCCTCCCCTTCTCCCGCTTCCTCCTCCTCTCCTCCTCCTCCTCCTCCTCCTTCCCTCCCTCCCTCCCCCGATCCCTCCCTCCCACCCTCCTCCTCCTCCTCCTCCTCTCCTCCTCCTCCTCCTCCTCCTCCTCGTCTTCCTCCTCCTCCTCCTCCTCCTCCTTCCTCCTCCGTCCTCCTCCTCCTCCTTTCCTCCTTCTCCCTCCTCCTCCTCCTCCTCCTCCTCCTCCTTCTCTTCCCTCCTCCTCCTCCTCCTTTCCTCCTCCCCCTCCTCCTCCTCTTCCCCTCCTCCTCCTCTTCCTCCTCCTCTCCTCCTCCTCCTCCTCCTCTTCCTCCTCCTCCTCCCCCCCTCCTCCCCTCCTCCTTTTTCCTGCTCCTCCTCCTCGTCTTCCTCATGCTCCTCCTCCTCCTCGTCTTCCTCCTCCTCCTCCTCGTCCTCCATGTCCTCCTCCTTCCTCCTCCTCCTCCTCCTCCTCCTCCTCCCTCCTCCGCCCTACTCCTCCTCCCTCCTCCTGGTCCTCCTCCTCCTCCTCCTCCTCCTCCTCCTGCTCCTCCACCTCGTCCTCCTCCTGCTCTTCCTCCTCCTCCTCCTTCTCCTCCTCCTCCTCCTCCTCCTCCTCCTCCTCCTCCTTCTTGGATTCGGGAGAAATCCGTATCCACGGTCCTGCGGTCCATATTCCTCGGCCGCCGCCTCATCTACACAAAACAACTGAGCACGGATGCCCCGCGCGGCTCGTATCCAAGAGAGATCGCGTACATGCCCACGGGTTCGCCCCAGGGTGTCCAGACAGCGAGGGCATGGATATGGATACGTTCGTCGCTCGTGAATTCTTCCCCAGACCGCTGGCAGACTGTTTGTTGTTTCTGTCCGGGTGCTTTCCCTCTGCTTCGGTCTCTGGATTCTAGTGGCCAAGTGCCGGGCCCCGAAATCAGAAGTCAACCATGTATCTCTGGGATGAAACGTTGTTTCCAACAAGGATTGCACATTATCGGTGCTGTCGGGGAATGCGTCTGCAGTTCCTGGACTCACGAGGAAGCACTAAAACACAAAGTAAGGCGCGCCGGAGGTCCAGGTCGGGGTCTCCATTGAAGGGGTCTCCAAATGTGGGTCTTTGTAGACTTTCGGGCGCGGCTCGAATGCTGTCGGGGTTCCAGAAGGTTTGCAGCGATTTGTCGGAGGTTGGCGGTGGCTGTGCGGAGGTCATCCAGCATGAGGAGGAGGATATGCAGGATGAGGCTGTGGAGGACGAGGGTCAGGGAGAAGTCGTAGTTGTTGTCGTCGTCGTCGTCGTCGTCGTCGTCGTCGTTGTCGCCGTCGTCATCCTTTGGCTCATCTGGGGCTGCCAGACTTCTTCTGGAAGGTCTCCAGCTCAGAGTGCCCCGAAAACGTCGCTGCGCTAATTCACACGTTCGCTCAGAGTCATGGGTGCTGAAGAGTACGGCGCGGTGCATGAATAGTCCTCCAGGTGCTTCTGCATGTGCCTTTGGGCCATGGCGAACGTCTGGAAGAGACGCTCCGTGCGTGTCGCGCTCGATGATCCCCATTTGGATCCGCCCCTACCTGGATCTTGCCTCCCACCGCTGGGATCATGGGAGACAGTGGCCTCCCTCCGCTGCCTTTGTGCACCGTCATCAAGGCCTGGCTTCCAGTCGTCACCATGTAAGGGGAACAGGGATGAGGAGGTTGAGGAGGTGGAGGAGGAGGAGGAGGAGAAGGGGAAGGAGGAGGAGGAGGAGGAGACGGAGGAGGATCAGTGTCAACCCAAGACTGACCCATCAACGACATTTGATCAAACCGTTCCTCCAAGTTACCTTTTTATAGGCCCCTACACGGATTCATTTTCACTGAGTGGAGTGCCCCGTTGGAACAACGTGTTGAACTCCGGAAGTGTGCCAGAACGCCATTCTTGGGACACCAACGCCGCGAGTCACCGTTAGTGTCGCGGCTTGACGATCTTGAGTCGTGCCAGGACACCATTCCTGGGATTTCAACACCGCGAGTAAACGTGGATGTAACGCCCTGACATTCCGACATTTCGCCAGAACGCAATTTCTGGCACTTGAACCATGAGGATCTTTGAATCTGTTGCAAGCTATCAAGACGAATGTGCGGGGCGCTGAAGCGAGAGCCACATTTTGAGAACGGGCCGCCCTCCGTCTGTGAATATCTTGCGATCTTCTCAGACGAGTGTGCGCGGCGCTGAGGCGAGAGCCATCTTTTCAAAACGGTCCGCCCTCCATCAGTGAAGCGCTTAGGATCTGTTCAGACGAGTGTGCGCGGCGCCTGGGCGAGAGCCATCTTTTCCAGAATGGTCCGCCCTCCATCCGTGACGCTCTTGCAAGCTTTTACGACGAACGTGCGCGGCGCCAATGCGAGAGCCACATTTCCAAAACGGGCCGCCCTCTACCCGTGAAGCTCTTGCAACTGTTTAAGCCTGGAGAC